TAAATGAGATCATAAAAAAAGTACTCTTGTGTCTGGCATTTTTCATTCAGTATAATATTTTTGAGACTCACCAATGCTGTTGCTTGTATTAGTAAAATGTTTATTTTCATTGCTAAATATTATTTCACTGTATGGGTCTGTTATAATTCATTTATTTACCTGTTGATGGGCATTTGGATTGTTGTCAGTTTCAGGTTATTATGAAAAAGCTACTATCAATATTTGCATTCAAGTTTTTATGTGCCCATATGTTTTCAATTCTTTTGGGCAAATTCCCAAGAGTCAGATTGCTAGGTTATATGGTAAGTGAATGCTTACCTTTATTTGAAATTGCCAGATTATTTTCCAAAGTTCTCCACACTTTGCATTTCCAACACATATGCATGTAGGTTTCAGTTGGTCCACATTCCTGCCAGCAATTGGTCTTGTTGACTTTTTTAATGTTGACCATACTCTTAGCACATAGGAGATTCCATTTTGGATTTAGTGTGCATGACCCTGAGGACTGGTAGTACTGAACATTTTTCATATGGTTACAGGCCGCTGACACTTCATCTGTTTAAATCTTTTGCTGTTTTGCTTTCCTATGCTCTTTGTCTTCTTAGCATTTAATGGTTAGAATTCTTTGTATCTTTTGCATACAGGTCACTTGTCAGATGCATGTCTTTTCTCCCAATCTGCTATCTTTTCATTTCCTTAACTGTGTCTTCCAAAGAGCAAAAGGTGTTTTTTTTTTTTTTTTTTGGTACTAGAGATCGAACTCAGGTCCTTGTGCTCAAAAGGTGTTATTTTTAATAAAATAAAGGACAAGTACTTTTGGAGAGATGAATTTTTAAATACTTCTGATAATTTTTCACTTTCTTAATTAATTTGCCCTTTTATTTTCTTTTTGTTAATCATCCATTGTGTAAACTTTTCAAATTTTTGGCAATCTTCATATAATATTATTTAAAAATGGTTCTCTGATTCTATAATTTTATTTTTTGTTTTTGTTTTTGTTTTTTTTGGTACTGGGGATTGAACTCGGGACCTTGCACTTTCGAGGCAGGTGGCAGAACCACTGTGCTAAATCCCTGGCCCTTCTATAATTTTATATAGCCTCCTATTCCTGAGGTCACTTACTTTTGTCTTGTTTCTTCATTTTTGATTTTTGACAAGCTATTTAGATCTTTGATATTTTCAAAGCATTTAACATTATGGATTATACTCATTTTGTTTCTTGTGTAAGATATTTCTGATTTTAAATTGCTTATTCTAATTTATTTAAATTAATTCTATGTTAATTTTTTTAAGTGAAAATTTTTATTTATCTTTTTCCAATCTTCGTTCTGTAGTAAGTGCAGTTGTGGTCAGAGGTGTTTTTCTTTTTAATATTTCTCTGATCATATGTTTAAATATTTATTATGTAGTCTTTTCATTTTATTTTTACCTAAAATGTTTTTATTTTCTGTTTTAATGTCATTAATCGGATGTGTAGAGGAATATTTTTTCCACTTTAATGTGAAAAGTTTTTTATTTAGTTTTCCGATTTTTATTCTTTAAAAATGATATGGTCAGATAATTTTCTTCCTATTTTCTACTTCTGTGGCCCTGTTAACACCCTGCTTGACATATCATTCATGGTCAATTTTGCTTTCTGTGTCAGAGGGTTTTGAAAAGTTTTGCATTTTCCATTTGGCACTGCACATTAATGGTGTGTTTGGTTTTGTTTTCTATATTTTTACTTATTTTTGGTTTACTTGATGTGACATTTGATCTGTGAGGAATGTGTTAAAATCTTCTATTATGATTGTGGATTTATTAGTCTTTCTTTGCATCTCCAACAGGTTTTGTTTTGTGTCCTTGGGAGTTTGTTACTAGATGTGTGAATATTCTTTTTGATGGAGTGTAATATTTAATAATATTGAGATCCTTTTTTGTCCTATTTAATATTTTTGACTTGGATTCTATGTTGTCTGATATATATTTTCTTCACCTCTTTTATTGAAGCATTTGCTGATTTCTCTCTTTCCATCTGTCTATTTTCAGGCTTTCCTTGTCATTTTGTTTTAGGGGCATGCCTCATAAACATCACATTTCTGTGTTTTTCTTAAATCTTGCTTATTTAAATTCTCAATCAGAAAATTGTAATCTTTTCATAGGGCGATTTGACCCATTAACATTTATTGTAATTATTGGTACTATTAAACATATCAGTGCTTTTAATTTCTATTTACTCTGCTTTCTTGTGGGTTTTTTCCCCCAAATTTGTAGTATTAGTTTTGTATTATTTGTTCTACTGTTTTCCTCGAGGGCAGTGATGGCAAACCATCACTTTAGACTTTTCAATGATAGAAACAGCCCAGTGTGACACATGTGCCATAGGTTTGCCACCATTACTCTAGGCTATGTTTCTGATCTTAAGCAATTATGGATCCATAACGTATAAAGACTAAGAACAGTTCCATAGACTTCATCACATCATGGGAATTGAGGCACAGAATTTTAAGGATAAAGAAACATTGTAGCCATTGGAATCACAGTAAGATACTTGCTAGAAAGAAAAATTAAGCAGATTTTCACTCATAAAAGTATCTGTTGAGTATGTGCAACGTAGCACTTCTGGGTGCTGGGAAATGGAAGTGTGGAGTCTGCAGTGGTGACCTGAGACAGACACAGAAGCTGTCTTCTGCTGGTGAAACTCAGGGTCAGGTGTGGGTTGTGGGAAGGACTCACCTGTCGGGGTGGAGGGTGGGCTGGGTGGAAGGTGAGTTAGATGGGTGGAGGGAGGAGGCGCTGGCAGAGCACTGTGCATGGAGGAGCCTGAGCTTTGTGGCTGCTGGGTCTGAGGTGAGGACCTGCAGGATGAAGTCACAGGTGGGTCCTATGTCACAGATCTCAGTGGCTGTGAGGAAGAGTGACACTGGATGTCACTGAACCACTGAGGGTCTCTTAGGGCCTGGGGACACCGGAATCAATGTTTGCCCTGTTTTCTGGTAACAGGAAATGAGAACATGCGGCGTCTGTGTGAATTTTGAACTGGTTGACATTCCAGGGAAGGGAATGAGGGAGAACTCATATTTTTTGGTGTCTTGCATATCAGAGGCACCCTCCGTGCCTACGCCCCGATTCCCACAGCCATGCTGGCTCCTGTGTGGTCTAGGCGATCCTGTCACCAGAGTACAGACCAGGAAGCTGAGGCTCAGGACGACAGAGGGCTGGGGACACAATTGCAACAGATCTCACTGGACAGCAGGACAGCAGGGCAGCAGGATACTTTCTCTTTCTTCTTTCCTTTCCCTCTCTCTCTCTCTTTCTCTCTCTCATCCTCTTTCTTTTTCCTAATCCTTTTCTGAGGATTAAATCCAGGCATGACTAAACTACCTCTCCCCTTCCCTTCCCCTCTCTTCCCTTCCTTCCCCCTCCCCCCCCCTCCTCCTCTGTCCTCCCTCCCTCCCTCTCACTAAGGTCTTGCTAATTTTCCCAGGCTGGCCTTGAGTTTGCCATGCTCCTGCCTCAGTCTCCCTAGTAGCTGGGATGACAGCCATGAGCCACTGCACCCAGATGTCTGGACACCTTGAAGACGTGTTGTCGGTCCTGCTGTGTCCGAGTGACCCCCAGAGTAGTGGCCTGCAGGCACTTCAGTGGACAGGTAGCACATCAGAGCCATCCCCAGGGAGGAAGGGTCTGGGACAGGGGGTTTGGGAAGGAGCTCAGCTCTCGGCAAGACCACTGAGCCACAGCAACAAGCGGTGCTCACAGCCCACTCGCAGCCCACTCAGCCACCCACAGGTGACAGCCCGGGCCACCTGCTGGCCACAGATTATGGGACTTGACCGTGAGGTGCCCGTCAGGAAGCTCCCAGCTCCAAGGAAGCAGAGGGGCCATTTTCCCTTTTCCCATTTCCGGGCAGCTCAGTTAAACACTCCGGCTCCTCAGGACACGGGAGGGGACTCTGCCCCGCTGCCCACTCTGAGCCCCCTGAGGCCGGAGCCCGGTCTCCTTCATCACCGCAAGGTGATGCAGGTGCTCGGTATACACCTGCAAGCAGCGAGTGAGCGCCAAGGAGAACTGCCGCGGTGAGGAATCAGAGCACAGCTCTCATCACCGCCTGCGCCCTGCCGGCAGCGGCTCCCTCCGACCCACGCCTCTCACGTGCACTCCCTGGCCTCCTGACAGTTCGTGGGCCGGGCCGGTTGTCCACAGAACTTCTGCTACCACCGTGCTAGTGAAGGCGTGCGGACTGCAGGTAGGGATGTGGGGACAGGAGCGGGTGGAAAGTCCTTGGAAGACTGTGCTTCCAATTACCCTTAGGCTGGATGGGACAGGAGAGGCCACCCAGTGCGCAGTTGCTGAGTCTCTTTGTAAAGCAACTTTCCTATCAGGATGGAGCTTTACAAAGCTCGGTCGGGGACAGTGGCTGCTTCTAATGGCCATAAGTTTTAATGCTTTATGATTAGGCATGGGAATGTTAAGTAACACGAGCAGAATTATTATGGAATTTAATGTGCTTTAATATTTTCAGCCATGTAAATCTGCTCTCGGTCCAATTACTAAAGGGATGTATTTACCAGAGGATCTCAAAGCACGTTATAATTACTGGAATGTTGTTTTGTTCTCAATTATGAGAACCATCAAAAACATCTTTCAAAGGAAAATTGCAGCTAGAGAGATTATGAATTAATAATAATAATACTACTAATAACAATAACAACTAAAAAGCTCCATGCAAAACAGTATCACTTTCCAATCCGCTATTTCCCATGATTCACACGACAACCTCCTGAGTTAGGGACTATTGCTCCCAATTCACAAGTGAAATCAAAGTGCTTAGAGAAATTACAGATAAAGCAGGCCGGAGCCTGGGGCCATCTGGCCCCTGGCACAGCGGTCGGGAGAAAGGTGCTGCCCCCAGAAACATTCTCAGCACGTTAGAGATGCGGATCTGACCCATAGTCCCTCACCAGCGCCTGACAGCCAGGGCTCGCATCCATCGTGTGGGCTGCTGTGTGCTGCAGGCTGCGCTGACCCGGGCAGTTAGGGCGTGTGTCTCTGTACCAGCTCACAGCAGCTGAGCCCCCCACCTCTTGGACAGCGGGGAGCTCGGGTCCCCACCTCATTGCCCCCAGTGTTCCAAGCTCCCATGACGACGTTGGCCAGTTCCATAGAGCAATCCGTGTGGTTGGTCACCTGCTGTGGTGACCTCACAGGTCCACGGCCCAGCACATGGGCTCCTCTGCTCCTCAGCCCTGCCCTTTGTCAGGCACTAGTGGATCCAGTGTGCTCACCTTCAAGCCATTCAGTGGAGAGCCCAGCCCCTGCAGGCTGCAGGCCATGAGATCTGGGTGTGGGTGTGCAGAGGCGTTGTTCTGACACAGTCTGCCATGGTGCTGGGCTCTGGAGTGTAAGCCCCTTGGCCTTGAGTGGCCTGGTCCTGTGACTCCAGCAGGAGCACCCAGATTCTGGCTGACCCGCAGCCCTCTCTCTCCTTTCCCAGAGCATTCCGGAGTGTCCCGCTGGGGCGCCCTGAGACTGTGGAGGCCCTGGTGTGTCCGCTGGTGCACATCACTGGTGAGCATCACAGTGAACCCGCAGGCTGGGCTTGCTTTGGAGCCTTGGGGGTTCAGCTCTTCACACACACAGAGACTTGACCCTGAGACAGCCAGGGTGCCAGAGAGGGGTTGAGTGCAAGCTCACTCACTTCCCACGGTGTAGTCAATGGCCCTCAGTCACAATCAGGGCTCTAACACACCTGGAATAGAGAGGTTGCAAAATTGGTCCCACCTGATGGAAGAGTGGTGCGGAAGGTTTGTGACTGTGTCGAATTCCACTGAGCAGCTCACTTAAACACAGTTCCGATGGCACACTTTGTGTCTATTGGAGCATTTTATGAAAATGAAGAAGTTAGGGGAGCAATGGTTTCTTCCCTGCGTTCAGGTCCTTGTGCACCATGACCTTGGAGCTCCTTTCATTAATAGGAGCCTGCTTCTCCGTCCCTGAGATCTGGGGGGGGGGGGCTGTAACCCAAATTGCTCAATAAAATACAGCAGAAGAGTTTGGTGCTAGGGATGTCTTGCCCTCAGCAAGCTCTGCACATTTCTACTTTTCTCTGTACCAGCCCAAGCTAGCCAGTCAATGAGGAGAGGTAGGCAGCCAACACTCCTTCCCAGCCCAAGCCCACAGCCAAATGACCAACAGACATGTGAGATCCGAGCCAGACTGGCCGATGACCCCTACAGCACGGCTGAACCCAGCTGCCTGGCCCAGTGGCGGCACAACCTGCAGCTTCCTGACACCTAACACATGGCTGTCATGCTAAGCCACCTTGAGTTTTAGGGTGTTTGTTATGCAGCATGTGCTGCTAGATTCAGCATCTCTTCTAAGCAGCTTTCTCAAAAGGTCTTCCTCATCTTTTCCTGCAATCTCCATCACTGGGACCTCCTTCAGCACCAGAGCTGGGGCTGCCAATCCTGTGCCCACCCAGTGCCACCTCCCTGGTGCTTGAGACACCTCTGTGCCTCTCAGCCCCTCTGCCTTCCCCTCCCTGGGGTGTGCTCCCACTCTGGGCTCTGTGATGGTTCAGCTCTGTGATGCACTTCCCTCCAAGACCTGGCCCACTTCCTGCTTAAGGCTGGAAGTGCCTCCCATGTTCTGCACTGGAGCAGGGCACTTGCACCCATTAATGGGGCCGGGAGAGGGTGGGAGTAGGCTTGGAAGGAGGAGGCTGGCATTTGCTGCAGACCAACTGTGAGCCTCATATAGGCTGTCTTGCTTGATGCTCTGCCTTGTTGGCCTTGAATCAAGTTAAGGACGATCCCATTTTACAGAACAGGAACCCAGGCATGGCTAAGTCGCCACCGTGGTGCCCGCAGATCCACCTGAGGTGCAAAGCTTGTAACCACTAAGCAACATCGTCTCATGGCAGCAAGAGGACTTGGAGATGAGTTCACAGATGAGCAAGCATGGGGCCTGGGCCGGTTCGAGGCCAGAGTGGGCAGCGGAGGAAAGAGTGAAGTGAAGAGCTGCTGGGTGTGGGGAGGAGAGAGCAATGTGCGCATGTGCTAGGGAGAGAGCGTGAGCAGGAGCAGAAGTGCGGCTGAGTCCACACGCAGGGGCTGTGTCCTGAGTCCCTGCAGGGAGGTTTTCCTGAAGGGCTGGGTGCACTTGGGGCCCTGTCAGCCCTCTGGCCACCCCACCCAGCCAGGGCTGCTCATGCTGCCGCAGGTCGCTTTCCAGCTCACGGAGCTGCAAATCCAATTTCCCAAAATAGCTCCCGATGTAACACACGGCACTCCACATACTGCAAGGAGCACTTCAGAGGCTCATTATAATCAGCAGACGGATCTTGACACAGGCTGTTGTCTCCTCTCACAGCTCCTGACTTTCAACAGGCCCTTGGCTTCCTCCTTCCCCGAGTCTCCGCCTCAGCAGGAGGCTGAGCTGGAGAAGATGCATGCAGGCTGTGTGGCGAGCTGGGATCTGCTGCCCCAGCAACTCCACCCCATGCCCTCTGCCTCCCGCTTCTGCAGGGCTCGCCACGCCACACCTTCCATGAGGAGCCTGAGCCTTTCAAAGTCCTTTGTGTCCTTTGAATGCATCTTGCTCCTTCAGCATCCTCACTTCCCCTTCACCCCCAGTGCTGGATCAGCCACCAGGCTCCAGTAGCACTGTACCCGCTTTCTCACCCCACTTGACACCCACGTTTCCAGCCTTGACTCCAGGATCTGCCCAGTGCTCCACACCAGCCGGTGCTGGGTCTGCACATGCCCTTTGTACTTCTGTGAAACCAGGCCCTGCCTTTCCTGCTAAGTTCTGAACTCCTTAAAGGCTTATTTACATTTGTATTCTAGTTCATTGATTGCTGTTGAGTATGTACATTACAAGCTACAATTACTGATCATTTTATCACAATTGTTGCCTTTTTTTTTCTAGTGGAACCACCAGTTCTGAAGGGATAAGCTTGGTCTCCTCTGAGCTTCTGCATCAGTTCAACCCTGTTTCATGTCTCCTTTCTGCCGTTAAGAACAGAGGGACTTCAACTGAGTTTAACTCCCAGTTCAGACACTGCATGCTGTATGATGGGGTGGTTGGTTGACCCCTCTGCACCTTGGTTTTCTCCTCTGGAAAGCAGGAATAATGGTATTTGTCATATGATAGCAGTGCCCAAATTTAGTACAAAATAAAGTACCTGGGAAACGGCTGGCTTGTGCTGATATTAGATTTTTATTTGGCAATGCTGGAGGTTGAATCCAGGGAATCCTAGCACGTGCTAGGCAGGTGCTCTGCTACTAAGCTGCACCCAGCCCTTAGGATTGTTACGGTCCTGAAAAAGACAAAGCAGATGAAACACTCAATGTGCTGACTTCCTAAATGCCAAGCCCTGTGCTGGCTCTTTAGTCACATCTGAACACAATGCTGTGTTCCACCTTTTAAATTTTATGGATAGGAAAACTGAGTCTCAGAGCTTTAGGGAACTAATCCAAGGTCACACAAGGTCAGGGGCCTTAGACAATCACCCCACAGATGAGGCTGAACTCTAAAGAGGTTTTTACCAGACGTTGTTCCCCAGCTATAGACAAGTCTCCTGGAGATGCAGATACTTATTGGTGACCATGAAATGCTTCCTCTCGCACTTCAGGAGTTGACCTCCAGTTCCCAGGACCTTGCCTCACTCTTGAGTCCATGCCCTGGCCTTGAGATTCAGAGTGAAAGGATTCGTGTAGGCCACACTCTAATTTCAGCAATGCCTCATCACACCAGGAGGTGCTTACATGTCCCTGTGTAGCTATTTTTTTCTTACAAAGTTGTTCACGGTTTGCTGGAAGGTGACGTTTCCTTGTGATGCCTTACTTTGAAGGTCTTTAGAACCTCAGGCTTTTCACAGGAAGGAACCAGAGAGGTGACATTCACACATGCACTGGCCCATTTATTTGTGCCACAAAAATGTAACGGGAGGTTAGATACTGGGAGGACGCAGAGTTACAGGGTAGCAGGACCCTCTTCATGAGCTCAAAGGCTGCAAAAGGGAGCAAAGTGAAGGATGTAACAGGTTCAACTGATGTGCCGTCCTGTGCCCTTTCAACTGTTTTAAATGGAGTTTCTTTCTCAGTTTAGGTAGGAGTGTTCTCATTCTGAACCATCTTACAGGAAAAATTCTGTGCTCACTCCTTCACTCTTTCATTTGCTAATTCTTTTGGTTGGTAGTGACTTAGAGCCAAGTCTTGTCCTGGTGCTAAGGCAAGAACCCCAGGAACCATCCTCCTGGTATGGTAGGGCCAGAGTTGATGCGCCAGTGCTGTGTGACAAGGGCTTTGTCAGGGGAAAGGACACAAGACTCGGGGACACACAGGACACTCGGGCTGGAGAGTCCAAGAGGCTGCCTGCAGTAAGTCCCTTGGGGGTGAGTGAGCACAGAAAGAAAAGTGCCCTGAGCACAAGGGAGGAGCCAGTTTTGGGAAGGGGTGCAGGGTGGCTGCCCTGGGTGCTGGGAGAGGCTGGGGAGAGGGAAGAAAGGAGCTGCCAATCAGGCCCATTTCTGCTCTCCCTGAGGATCCGATGAGGTCTCTGCTCCTTTGTGATGCAGCCCTTTTTTGAACACCAGGCATGAGAATATTGGTTTAAGAAAGCATTTTACACAAAATGATTTAGGTCAATACCCCATGAAGAGGTACCCAGGAGGTTCCTAACTAGCACTTTCCAGAAAGTATGCAATGGCCTCTGGTCCTTACCCCAGGAGCATGGCTGGTGGTGTTGAAGACCTGCTCCCATGTGTCTTAGTCACTTTCCCATTGCTGGGACCTGACACCCACAACCTAAAGGAAGAGAGGTCTCTTTGGCTCAGGGTTTTAGGGGATTCAGTCCCGGGTTGGCTGGCCCCAAGGTAGGAACACCTTGGTGGAAGGTAGTGGTGGAGCAAAGCTGCTTAGTTCATGGTGGCTGGGAAGCAGAACAGGGGACAGTACCAAAGAGGAAGGACAAGGGACAAGCTATAGTCCCCAGGACCTACCTCAACACATCCAGGAATGGGCTTTACTCATCCTTGAGGTGGCTCCCAAGCCAATCAAGTTGGCAGTTAATTTCAACCAGTACCCCACGAGTGCAGTGGTCTCCCATGGAATGTTCTCAAAGCAGCACTTTCATCTGGGATGAAGTTTTCTACGGGCACCTTGGCTGCAGGGTGGCACTTGGGCTTCTGACTCTGTCCCAGCCTCTTCTTTGACTAGAGTTTTTCCAGCCACCCACTGTGTTTGCTTCAGCTCACTGATTTCATCTGGATTTACACCCACTGACCACCGTGTTTCTCTGGAAAGCTCAGCCTGTGGGAGGCCGGAGGTCATCTTTCTTGAAAACATTCTGTTCTATCTCCCAGAACCAATCATCCATGGACACTTATTTTACTGAGTTTCTACAATGGCTTTATAACCATTAGATTTTTATTTTATTCTTTTTTCTGCTTACACAATTAATGTACGTGTATCATAGAAAACTCACAAAACAAAAATTTTGGGAACAAAAAAATAACATCTCCTGGACATTTACAACCCTAAGAAAACCACAATTGACACATTGCAGTCACTATTTTAAGCACTGAATAACAGTTCACCAGGTTGAAACCAGCATTTTCTTAGCACATTGGGTAGGTTGGAGGGCACAAAAGTGGTTCCCAGTCTTTGTTCCATAATAAACTTTCAGCAAACATCTTCATACTGTAGATTTTTTTCACACTTATATTCATCATCCATTTAAGTTACAGTCTTTAGTATAGAAAAAGATTGCAAATTCAATACCTGAGATCTCAACAGGCTCATGGTTTGCCCCATTCTTAGGAGCTTCACTTTATAACGGAAGGGAGAAAGGAGGAGGAAAGAAATATGGAAAAAGGGGGAGTGGAAGTTGGAAAGAGAGAGAGAGAGAGAAAGGGAAGCAGGATATGCAGAGGACTAAGTTGCAAGTCAGTGTGGAGTGAAATCCCCAGAACTCTATAGATTGGCTGAGAAACCGACCAATGACTGAACCCCTATAAGATGCAAATCCCCTCCCCATAAAGTGGGAAAACAATGTCCTACAGAGTTATTGAGGGAATTAAATGAGAAAATACAGATGAAATGCTAAATAAAGCACTTGAGACATAGTCAAGCACTCCCAGGATGTTCTCCATTGTTATGGATAATGCACTGCACTGACTGTGTGAAGTCAGGGAGGGCTCCAAGCCCACTTGTGAAGTCCAGGTGCCTCCTGAGCTCCCTGCGGCTTGAGCTCCTCCTCACTAGAATGGGCGTGCAGGATGTGGACAAGGCAGTTTTTTTCCTGGATCAACAAATCCTTCAGCAGCTGCAAAGCTCTGTGGAAATGGAGGTCAAATTTGGTGGACAGGGTGGGTGGTGATGCCACCAAGCAGGTCACTAGATATGTGACCTTGAATGTTCACTCCCCTCTCAGAGACTGGGTGCCTATTCCGGAATACGGGGCCTCTGGGACCTGCCCTGGGTAGATCCTGAGACAGTAAAGTAGGGCACTTGAGACCTTGCAGGTAGAATGAGCTATCACAACTTCCTGCCCAGCCTCTGGGCTGCTTGCTTTCCCCATGGACCCAGGGACTCACCAGGGCAGCTCAGGGTTACTCAGTGCTGGGTCTGCTTTTGGGAAGGCTGGGTGCTACAGTGTCACTCTTCCTGTTCCCAAGAAGTGGCACCGAAAGTCTAGGACAAGAAGGGACTCACCCCATCTCTCTACTCCCCATTGTTCCTTCCCATGGTATCCTAGTACAGAGGCCACGAGTCTCAGGGCCACTGTGATGGGAGAATAAACGGAACAGTGTCACTCCTGGTGCCTCTGCACTCTGGTGGGTGATGATTGTTCTTGGCTGTCTCAGGGAAGAACCTGGAGCTGGCACCAAGCATAATGTTGGTCCTGGGAGACGAATGTGGGGAACAGCTGGCTCTTCACATCTGGCCTTACCTCTCTACTGTGCAGGAAACAATCTTCCTCTCAAGGTGCATTAATTTTCAACAAGAAGACCTGACAAGTTCACAGGGTAATCCATAATTAGGGCCCAGGCAAAGATGGTGGAGGTGGCTTTCTGGTGGCTGCAGAGACAGGCACTTTTGTGTTTGGGTAGAAACTGCTGGCCAGCCTTGGAAGTGGTGGTTGATGTGACACTCCATTAGTCACTCTCCTGTTGCTGGGACAAAATACTGACATCCATAACTTAAAGTAGGAGAGGCTTATTTGGCTCATGGTTTCAGAGATCAGCTGGCTTCAAAGCAGAAACAGCATGACAGAAGAGCATGGCAGCTGGAAAACAGGAAGAGAGAAAGATAGAGAGAAGAGGAAGAAGAAGGAGCAAGGAATAAGAATAAACCCTTCCAGGTCACCCAGTGACCCATCTCTTATAACCAGACCCTACCTCTTAGCAGCATATTCAGCTATGAATTCAGCTATGAATTCAGCTATGAATTTATTGATGTGTACAGTGCACCTCAAACAGATTGCTTTCCAAAAGCCCCACCTCAGAACACAGGAGACTTTAAGGTCTAAACCATAATAGACCCATTGTATAAGGTGGGGGCTGCTAGGAGTCAGATGGGGCTGCCCAGGGATCCTTCCTGCTCCCCTCTGGAGGTGGGCAGTGTTGGTCCAGTCAGTGCTCTTCACAGAAGGAAGCAGGCACCATGGTAGTGGAGGGCTCCCAGTGACAGTCTGGCCTCGCCCAGCTGTAGGCCTGGATTCCAGGGCCTTTGGCTTAGTCTGGCCAGTGAGGAAATTCTGGGAGGTGAAGAGGGCTTATACTACGGGGAGGGTATAGAGTGGCCATTTAGAAGTCTGCGTGTTTCAATACCCTTTGTAAAATTAGTCCTCAGAAAATGTTGTGTAGGAGACAGAAACTCCATTTCCACCAGGGGAGAAGCCAAGCCCAGAAGGGCTTGATAACTGACAGCACACCTAGTGAGTCAGTGGTAGAGTTAGAACTCAGGCCAAGGGTTCAGAGCACAGACCTGTGTCAGACCCAGGGTTTCTGTAGAGGAGCAGAGAGGAGCCTTTTTCCTACTGCTGTCCCAAGTTGGGGGGGCTTTCCAGAGAGCATGGAGAGGAGATGCTGGGCTGAGGTGGGGCCTGGGGCGCAGCCTCCCTGCGGGGTTCGACCTCAGTGTTGTCCTTGTTCTCCCGGTGACCAGGCCCTGCAGGGCAGTCTGC